GGACTGGGGAGGGGGGTAAAAGAAAGCTGGGGAAAAAGTAGTAAGGAAGGAATGAGGACGTCGGAGCAGAAAAATTCGCGGTCTTATAGCAATACGGACTTCTACTGCAACCTTGGTCGGACCCTAAACAGGAAAGTCCAGCGAAGGCTCAGCAGTTCCCGAGGCGGAGAGATGGGAAGGAATACTTTCCCTTGGCACTTGGCGGGAGCACTTGGCACTTGGCACTTGGCACTTTGCGGGTCCACTGGTCAATAGATTCAGCATATGGCTGCATTCTACCGTACTTTCCTCTACGTAGTGATGGATTCATGCAAGCCTGCCCTGTTTGGATTTAGGCCCCCTGTGGGTTTTGCTCTCTGGTGTGCATGCTTATTTTCCTGGGATCTTTATGTCTCTACCGATCCATTCAGATCTTTCATCCATCTTCCTTTCTTATTTTCTGTTCCCTGTGCTGGCTCCCTGGAGTCATTGCATAGTTTATTTACTCTCCCCTTTGCGACACAATATACATATTGTGCATACTTGCATTCTACTATTACAGTATATATACCTGGAGCCGCCAAGGCCTTGTCGCCCCAACATGACGTCGAAAACTTTTTGCCAAGTTTCCAATTCGGCGCTAGGCAAAATTTGCCCGGCTATTTACGAACCTTCGGACCAATGACACCCAAATACTTTGTGGCGAAGCACAAGGCACGCAGACCGGGGCAATCTCGCTCAACTGGCTTTTTGTGTCAAGCTGGCCACCGACCACGCTGTAGGAGTAAGTGGTAGGTGGCATTGGGACCGACTCAGTATGGCCGTATCCTGTCATATGTATGTATTAGTAGCATGATTTATGTGAATCTATACTCCGTACTAAACGAACGCTTTCCGGGAAGCATAGACCCCATTACTCACCATCTGGATGACCCACGACCCACAATGACGATGCGGTCTAATGCTCTCATGACTGGGTCCATTTTTACGTTCCTTTCCCTGTGGACCATACATAGTAGACCGTCAATAGAATTTGCAAGATGCCATGTTCGCAAAAGCTGCCGAAGGATATGAGAGGGTGGTAATATTGTGAAGTGTGAAAAAGAGGGATAAAACATAATCGCGTCGGAGTGCTGCCCCCACCCCTCCTTCCACGATACGCGCACAAGGTGGTTCGATCTGGGGATTCCAGCGCTAGAGACCACCCCGATCCGATGTTTAGAGTCCATGATAGGCGGGGGCGGGAGCATGTTGGCAAACCGGCCATGGCCAAGGGAAGCTTTGCCGAGTCCGCCACCACTTCATTCAGGTCGGTTGGCGCCCCAGAGCTCACTGCGGGGCTCTTCATATCTGGGGCAGACCATCAGCATGTGGTATACTGTTTCAGGGGATCGCCAGCACTGTCATCTCAGCTTACCTTCCAAACGGTGCCCTTCGCCTCGGGGTATTTGGGTGGGGGCCGTGGCCCAACATCCTTACTTAACAAGATCTGTCGAGGTGTAACAGGTTTGGGTTTTTCCAGGTGACAGCGGCGGAATTCACAGCTTCCCTGACCTTTCTTGATGTGCTCCGCAGGCTCGTAGAACGGTTCATCAGGACGAACCCGCTTGACAATGTAGTAGAGGCAGGGCTCTTGGCCCCCTCCTTCCTAATAGGAGTCTAGTACTTTGACTTCGTATCTTTCGAGTCTAATAGGCGGCCGCGCTTGGTACTCTGCAACCTTTTAGTAGTCCATATTGGCCTGACTAGAGTAACTCTTGGATGCATGGGCTCGCAGCTTGGTACGGAATGACTGACCACGTGATGAACTCTAACCTAACATGAGTTAATTGACCAACCACACCCCGCAAATGAGAAAAATAAACCTTAAAGCTAGATCCAATCATCCAACTCTATCAACATTAAGTGCTATTAGTCGGCTCTGCACCATGGCTGCATTCCGCCAACAGACCATACACAGTAAGAGAAGATAAACCATGGAATCTGCAATACATCAATTACCGCAAGCGGATAGCTGTGATAAACTTACGACTATCACCCCTACTCGGCCGCATAGACAGCACTAAGAGGAGGGCAGGGGGAGAGAATCACGCCACTCATATGTACATATTGCGACGTTAATGTGACGTTCTACATCTATCACCTATGTTGCGCATGACCAGATGTCCCTCAGATTACCTGAGGGGCTATGAGAATAGAGTAAGAGGGAATAATAAGGTTTTCAAAATTCTCTAACAAGTTACAAGGCCATAACTAGGTTAAGCTATGTTGTAGTAGTGGCTTCATAATCTTTATGGCAAGCAAAGAATAGGTGTTTTAATTAAGGTTAGTCCTTGTCCTACATCTAATCAATTAATTCCTTTCCCTATTTAAAATAGGAAGAATCAGTTTACTGCTGTGTATGGAATGCAAATTTCCAGGTTTTCCAACCAGTACTCCTTTTAGGCAAGACTGTTAAGATCGCTATCTCCCTTCCAATATGAGCTCTGTCAATGCTCAACCACCTGTCGCTATGGAGCCCATTAGCCATCCCATCGCGTCATCACTGCCAGCGATAGTGCCAGGCGATGGCACACCTCTTAGTCTGCTTGATTTTCAGGCCCTCTTAGGGACCGACGGTGGTACAGCCAGAGGCACCACAGCCCCCAAAAGAAGGTGCTCCTGGGTGCCGATGTGGATGCAAACAGACTATTGTGAGCTGCTGTACCCAAAGATCCTCAGGGGAGAGAAAACAGCATTGCGACAGCTATATGCTTTTAATATGCTTATATATACATGCCTGGCTCTTCAGCTAGCAGTATCCTCAACTCTGGTAATTCTGTCTGCAATCAGCGGAGATCACCATAGTTGTTGCAGTCCTAGGTGCTGTCACTGTACTCATCACTGGTGTACTATCCTTAGTCAAGGGTCAGGGGCAACCTATGCGGTTGCTCCACTACGCTGATAGCCTCAAGAGAGTGCGAGATGATATTGAATTCTGTGAGAGTGGACTAAAAGCACATGCCACTTCTATGACCTATCAGAGGGTTCTGGATATCTGGAATATGTATATTTCTGCGAGAGAAAGCCAGATGAAGAATCGTCCAGATGTATGGGCTCCTCATGAGAGGAATACCAGAACCACTTAACTCAAATGAGGTGTGACAGTTTAGCATAGGCATTTTAACAAGGATTCTATCAGCGAAATGCAATGTCGTCAATGACCACTAAACTATAGCTTATATGACATTCTTACTACACCTTAGTACATTGTCATTCACCACCTCTGGAGAGCTCTCCTGATATTCGGGTGGTGGTAGTGCAAAGCCTGCCTGGCCATTTCACAGTGCCTAGATCGTAAGGATTAAGACGAGAGGACCACGGATAGCTGGATATTCTGACTGAATATCTCCTATGCATGTGGATGTGACCCTTTCTATAACAGGGTGTAAATCTATCTTGTATTCAGAACTCATGATAACACAATGAATCATGGACTACTGCCTCCTTAGTATATCTACAGGGTACATCGAATATTTAAGGGCGGAACCCTATGTTATGTGAACACTCTTGATCCTCAAGCTTACTACTCACAATTCTGTACACATCATCAAGTGTACTGAGGAGCAATTCTTACTTCGTTTGATTTACCTATAACAATCTGCTTCAACATACCTCAATATGAGTACACAGGGTTCTCATCCTCCCGCCTGGCTGATGGATCTAAAGCCGAGCATGACCCGAAAGACAGTGCTACAAAAGATAGGTTGCATGCTTTCAAGACTGTGTTAGCTCACATAGACTTTTTCGATGCTCAATCCTATGCTCAACGTGTACTACAAGCTGCAAAGTCCACCCCAGTTATGACTGCTTTTGGTGGCGATTTCCATCCTCCACAAGCTAGCCAAGAAGGGACCATCTTCAATGGTGCCGACCTTGGTAATGTGATTCATGATCTGGCACTCTCAACCGTCACATTAGCATTTGCAGACGTCGATGAACCTCATGGGTTTCATAATTCGGTCTCCCGCGTAAGTCGCAATTTGCTGTTGTTGAGGGACATTTCTCACCGCAGTAGCCCAATGCCACACAGCTCCAAAAACAGGCCATGTTACGATTGATGCCAGTACTGATGGCTGATCACATTAATACATAAGTCTTTCTGTCTTCCTGTAAGTATAGTCATCGGCAGCTGATATCAGTATGTGTCAGCGCATTGCGGAACCAGAAACTACCAATGCTAGAAGAAATGAAGCAGTCAGATCCCGACCTCGTGAAAGCCTTTATGCAATGGCTTCTCACACCAGGTAAGATAGCTTTCCGTTAAATGCTTTCACTCCGCTAACATCTCTACCAGATGCAGCGGACATGCTGGAGTTTCACTCGCAGGTGGTCCAAAAGAAAGACTTCCTCACGCACTGTCTGTTCGTCTGGGAGTATTTCTGGCAGGGCGGGAATGTCCCTACGATGAGAAATGATGTTAACCCTCCTGCTAAGACGTTTTACTGGTTCAATGTTCTATCAAACAGCATGGATGCAATGGGATCAAAGGAATTCATCCAGTCATTCCCGCAGGCGTCTGTGGGGCCCATTGCACGGGCCGTGTCTTCTGTCCTGGCCCTCAATGGCAATCCAAGAGAGAATCTAGACGCTTATGTTTCCAAGCTTCGTTCTCTATTGGCAGCCAGCTGTGATCATTGGTCAACTGTCGTGGAGCTTAGCACCCTCAAAAGCCTAGGAGACCAGCTCTCCCAACAGTGGGACACTGGGAATCGTGTCTTTCAAGACGCTGTTACAGATTTCATTAACCGCAGCCGAGATCAAGATGGAGATTCCCATACTGAAGTCTTCGACACGGCAACATGGGATTCGCCTTTACCTGTCACTGAATGAGTTACGGAGCAGCTGCGCATTTTTGGGGATGACGCGGCGCAGTTTGTGTCTTTATACAAGGGCACGGGAATGTTTAATAATGATATCAGTGCCCAGCCCGGACACACCACATCGGAGATCGAGTATCCTGCTTCCGGCCCGGCACACAGGTTTTGACTCAGAGTGGCTCAGCGAAGATTGAGGACATTCGCCCCGGTGCTGAGATTATCTCTCGCGGTGGAAGTGACCGTGAATTTGGAATCTGTAGCGATGAGATAAACAAAATGTCCACGAACAGGTCTGATGACTCCAGGGGAAGGATTGATCTTTGGGGATTCAATGGAGGTCCCGAATTCTTTACGGAAGGTCATGTCTTCCACACTACCGCAGGCCTTCGGGCGGTTAACCCGGCTATATCAGCCATAAAAAATCCATACCTTCTGGTTGGTAAGCTGGGAGTGGGTCACTCAGTGTTACATACTGAGGATGGGAAGACCTATACCCCGATATTGATCGAGTCTATTCACTCAAAAAGGGCTGATTGTGACTTTGTCTACGATGTGCACATGGTAGATGGAAAGAGAACCTACCACGCCAATGGGTTCCTTGTGCGAAACAGCTATCCCGATATTACTATCAACAGCATTGCTAAAGCACTGCTGACATTGCCTGCCAAGGAGAGGGTAGACGCGCTGAAGTCACTGCAGGAGCTGAAGCCTCTCCTTGCACGATTTGGAATCGCGACAATCGAAGAGTTGCTCCGCCAGGAGCTCCGAGCCATGCCCAAACAGCCTCAGTTCACCAAAGCGCCCCAGTCCAAACAACTGCAAGGTATCCATCACTGTGTTCGTGCGTGGTCACTCAAAGATGAGGATGAAATGCAAGGCCTCACATTCCCACACAGCCTTCCCGATATAAGCTTGTTTGAAGGCGTTGTCTATATACAGTGGGATGCAAAAAGTATTCGACCACCTACCTTTACCGTTTACTAGGTAGGTGGTCGAATACTTTTTGCATCCCACTGTAGACTCCAAGTACTGTCTGCACGCACAGGTCGGCTCAGATCAGATCATGTAGTCACGGCCACTGCCTTCAAGTGTGTGGGAGCATGGCTTCTACACTTTCCATCCCGGCATGGCAGATGGATATGGCGCCATCTGCTACAGTAGAGACCAGACATCAACCGGAATTTCGGGGCCAGATCAGATGAGACCTGTGCTTGCACTCAGAAAAGAAAGGCCTACATTGATGAAACATGTTCAAGAGTCAGCTTCAGAGCTGGCTGGGTGCAAAGCCCTCCGTGCATCAGCTGCTACCAACATCTGTAGCTCCTGGGGCCAAAATGGCTCATCAAAACTCAGCAAGCGTTAAAGAGCACTCTACATCACCTGTTACTACCACAGTCTCTACCACCGCCACCTCAGTGCCTGCAGGGCCAGATCAGATGAGGCCTGTGGCACTAAGAAAAGGGATACCTATGTCGATGAAACGTGTTCAAGAGTCAGCTCCAGAGGTGGCTTCCCAGCCTGATGCAAAGCCCTCCGGGCATCAAAACTCAGCAAGTGTTGATCCCGCACCACCTGTTGCTACCACAGTCTTCACCGCCGCCACCTCAGAGTCTCCAGCAACAGCTCCAGCAACTTTGGACACATACACTCCCCTGGGGACATACTCCCTCAACTATGATTCTACAGAGTGGGATGACAATCGAGAAACGCCCACTACACCCGTTCCATTTCTTGATGTTTGTATGACCGTAGTGGATAGCTCTAGAACGCACGTGCTCAGAATCCCCGAATTGGACAAGCTAGCCGACTCCCTCGCAGCTCGCTATCAGGCCAAGAATGGCAACCTCCCAACGATTAAACAGTATTACACGAGCTGGGCAGACCCGGATGCAAATGGAGACATCAATGTGTACATCAAGCTCACAAGTCCCGAACTTATTGCGGCTGCTGCAGACGGATATAACCCAGCTGCTCCCAAGTATTATGACATCACCATCACACTAGACGACTACAGCCAAGTCAATTTCCCATTCATATTCATATCCATGAGAATCTTGATCAGCGCCAACGACAAAAGGCATTGTGCGCGAATTCAATCCGTCATGCGTCAAAGAGATTGGCAAGAGACACCTTGTCATTAGGGAGCTCTTCCGCAACGACGCAGAGGCTGATTCCGCCTCTATCAGGCAAGTCTCTAGTGCAGTAACTGTTAGCACTAGTGCAGGGTCCCCACTGCAGGAGATGGAAACAGCCCATCTCGCCCCAGCTCCTCTGGTGCTGAAGCTCGCATCCAGTGCGAAGGGCAAGATACCCAAGGATATACAGGCTGGGGCCAACACATTGGCAAGGTTGTGGGTGGGCTTTGATGCGGCCAAGTTTCAAGCCACATCCCATGACCTATTGCAGCAGACAATGATTTTTCATATAAGTGATACGCAACGTCAGAACTGGGCTAGAAAAGTAAAACCAATTGAAGGTACAGACCCGCAAAGCCTTCCTGTGGAGCTCAGATCACTGCTCAACCCAGCACTCATCAAGTGGCTGCAGGATAAGTATATACCCGCATGGATCTGTCAGAGAATTGGCACATTGTACAATAACTAAAAGCCGGACTAGAGAGAGAACTTTACTAATCAACAAAGGCAGAAGATTAAATATTAGCTTAAGGGTCGTGGGAAAGACTGCAAGAGCCAAAGTACTGAGTATACCCAGCTGAATGAGTTAACTTCATAATTGGCCATGATTTGAGCATACCCAGTACTACAGGCTAGACCTCGTAAGGAGTCGCGACTCGTCAGGTTCGATTCGACTCGGAACCGCCAAGACTCAGGTTCAGGTTCTAAGATCTGGAAGTCGCGATCCGACTCCAGGATTCTTAGAGTCAAACCTGACAGGTTCAACTCAAACCTCAGGTTCCACAAACAGTGCAAATATAGGAAATCTCGTGATATGCATATTTTGTGCAGTTTTCGTCTGTATTTTTAAGTATTTAGTTTACAGTTTAGGCGAAAAGGTCAGATTAAAATGATTTTAGTATAGAATCAGATGGGAGCTTTCACATTTTAAATTCTACTATTTTTATGGCTTATGATACACAAATTGATCTTCATCTCGCTTCAAATACTTTGGAACCCACCCTAATGTTCGCCTCTGAGTACTACTTTCGCCATGCAGGTCGCTGTTGTCAGGCAGAGGGATTTCATCCTGATCATCCTCATTATCCAGTTCAATCAGTGGCCCCTGGTCCTCTGTGGCTTTAGTCCTTGGTCTTTTACTAAGCGCACGCTCACTGGGCAGCTGTATCAGTAGAGATATAGCTGCTGGGGCATCTTCTTCATTATCACTGATTAGATTGAATTCATCCACTACCTTATAAGCATCTTGTTCTTCTCTTACTGCTTAAATCTCCTGGGCTGTGAGATATTCATTAATAAAGGTTAGCTGCTCTGATTCAATGTCAAATCTTAATGTACACATAAACATCATAAGATCCTTAATTATTTTAGGCTTCAGAGAGCCTCGACAGTAGTAATATATGTCACAAGCCGAGTTAAATAGTCATTTAATACTAGAACCAGTAGCAGGAGTTGTAAGAACATCTCATGCTAGGCTTGCAAGGATAGGAAATTCATGCTGTTGGTCCTTCCAGAAAAGCCGCGGATTTATCAGACGAGTGCCTAGAAGTAAGATAAGTAAGAGAGACATGAGAGATCAGAGAGGGTAGCATACTGCTTCTAAGATACCGCGTAAGCTCGCTGTGGGCGTTTGTCTGTGGCTGAAAGGATGTAGCCGATGTGATAAGCATATTAATATCAGAGATCTGATCTGCTGAAGAGTGGCCATTGGATATAGGCTGTGTATCTGAATATTGTTGTTGGTAGGGCACAAGGTAATCCTTAAGGCTCTTGCGGTATCGTACGCGCCAGCATGGCTCCCACTCCTTAGTAGAAAAGAAGTAAAGCTTGTTTTATAGCGCCAGGATTGTACTAATTGCATACAGATCATCATGGATATCATCAGTCATGCTATAATACTCTGATAGCTTTAACTTGGCTTGCTTCAGGGCAGATAGCATCACTGCCTTCCAGTTAACCTTCTTCCGCGCAAGCTGCGCCATATATCTTTCTAGATGACTGAAAAGTTTGTTGTAGATACCAAAGATGGTATGGACAGTGATATCCTTAGTCTTCGAGAGGGTGGTTATGAACATAAAGAATAGCTGAGTAATTACAAGAAGATAATTAATCTGCTGCCATTCCTCCTTACTTAGCTGTAGATCATGGCGACTATACTGCGCGCAGAACCCATCAAAAATAGATTATAGCCGTTTAGCGCACCGGAGCATCAGATATGTTGAATTCCAGTAGGTCCTGACATCTTGCATTAGTATAAGCTTTGGTTCTGTTATCTAAAGGTTCTGGAAGGCCTCTTAGCGTTGGGGGCTTTTATTAATGTAGACCGCGAGCTGCCAAACCTAATATATTATGAGTATGAGCTGAGGCAATATCAAAGAGGGTAGCTTACCGTGTTAAGAGTATATATAATTTCTTAATTCTCTTGCCGAGCCCCATTCTCTTCCTCAGTCCATTCCATCTCTTCTCTCTCATTCCTTGGGTTCGCTTCCATCCTACCAAGAAGCTCTTTCAAACTAAGTTAAATAACATGTGCCATACATAGTATACAAATAATTAGTGTCTGGTTTAGTAGCTTAAGCGACTAAAGAGAGTTCTGGATGCTCTCTACCAATGTAGAGTTATTAGACGCATTGTCAGTGGTAACAGTCAAGACCCAGTCCTCAATCCCATGCTTTCAAAGTAGGTCAAGGAGAACTAAGCTCAGATTAACTCCTGTATATGTGCCATGAAGTGGTTCAAAGCCAAGCAAGATCTCCTAATAGTTCTAACCCTCATTAATAAAGTAGCCTGTGACAGCCATAAAAGCCTGGCGAAAGGGCAAGGTCCAGTAATCTAATATAATAGAGAGCTTAGTACCTGTAAGAAGCTTATAAAGAAGATTCTGCTGTTATTCTTTAACCATCTTTTGAAGGTGACATCAGACCATATATGCGGAAGGGATTTCAGGTAAAGATGGCGCAAGCCGGGCCATCTTAATAAGGGCACTAAACTGAGGGTGCTTAACAAGTTGAAATGGTAGTTGTAAGGCAGTAATGAATGTAATTACCCTCTCCATCCAAGCTTATGGAGTGAAGGTAGGTTTTTAAGAGGCCAGATGTGCCTAAGATAACTAGAACTTAGTAGAGATAAAATGAATCTATAGGGATGAATATATTAATATACCCCTTCTTGTATGAGCCTTCTAATATCTTGCAAAAAAGGCGCTACCCTCTAACAGTTAACCCCTTGCAAGTGTTTGTTCATAGAGGATGTTCCATGATGGCCATTCACTGGATGATTAAGGATTTAGCCACATATTTTACACATAACCTTCGGAGACCCATCTTAGATAGAGGTGACCTGGTGAAAATGCTTCTAACACTCTGCCTAGCACTTATTCTCAAAGATATTCTGTTTCAACTAACTTCCAAACTTGGTCTTCAACCACCATGCAACAAATTCATCATTCACCATCTCTGTCTAGAGAATATAGTTCTTCTTTTTCTCTGGGCCAACGCGTTCAAGGGTGTTAGGGATGGAGGGTGGTACCAGAGGCCTGGCGAATTCAGTGTCAGGTGTAGAAGCAGGCGTCTGCTAACTGTATGAAGCATCAGGGAAGAATGGCTATGGACCATCGGATGGAAGGAAGGGAAAGCTATCTAGAGGGGTATCCTCATAGATAGATGAGGGATAATTATCAGAGAACTGAGAGATTTGACTCTGTGACATGGTAAATAATAGAGCCAGGATGATAGAGAAGGACTGGAAGAGACATACTAGAGGTCAAGTGAGCTAGAACTGAGGGAAATAGGAAAAACTACGAGAATCAGCTGCCAACGCGAGCTGAATGAAGGTGTTGATACGTCTATTATAATATGGACTGGGCTATCTACCTGCGTGTCTGACAATTGGTCAGTGAGGCCCCCTATAGTCAGGTTCCGTCAGGTTCCAAAATTTGGAACCTGAGAACCTCAGGTTCAGGTTCGAGGTTCCGACCTTTGGAACCTGAGTCGGACCATTTCGAGGCCTACTACAGGCTAAACTTCAAGATACAGTCATCAACAGTCAAGGTCATTCTAGCGGCAAGAAGTGGGCAGCAGCAGTCTTTCATCAAAATATGACCACCCACAGTAACCTTAAAGCAATAGCTCGTACTACAGATCCTTCAGTAAGTCAAAAATTTCATCATGTAATTTACCTTTAGGGGCCGCCGCTTCGGGAAACAGCGTCCCTGAATGCAGAAATGCCGCCCCTCACCGCCTCATTACTCGCCGCTAAATAGGCCTCGCCCTCCTGCCCTTGTAACTGTCACATCCTGTTTTCCCCATCAATTTTATGCCTGTCTCCCCATTGCTTGCTGTGGCTTCCCTGCGGACCCCCATGGCATCTAAACCCCCAATTATGCCTAGCACTTTCCCCCCATATCGCCTCTATTGACTAAACGAAAGGTGTTTTGCTACTGTTATCGCACCACACAGTCTTGTTGTTGCCAACCTCTCCATCTCTGGTGGTCTTATCCGTCTGCTCAGTGAATTTATTACTCTCCCTACATGTCTACACAAAAGCTATGTATGGTGCGGCCCTCTGAACCGGATTAATTTTAATTCTTTCTGTATCAGCAAAATCCGGTTGCGTGGCTGGCCTGGCTGCGCCTGCTTTACCATAAGGTGCCAACTAGCGTGCAGCAAACTTAGAAAATGTTATATGGATTCAGATGAAAGGATAATAAGACATCTAGGTTGTTGTTGCCTTCGGCATGCTTATCCAGAATCCAAAGCCCACAAGGTTACATGACTGCTTTATCCACAGGGCTTCCTCATAAGGAGCACCAGATCATGCCTAGTAGGATGTGCCTCGCCCCTGGCACTAGAAATATATTTACTTCTTAGAAAGAGTACATGACGCTGTCGGCGATCTCTGTGATAGGATGACATATATTGACCCATTTTCCTCTTGCTCACAGCCCGCGTTGCAGCAATCCCTCCATATCATGTCGCAGATAGGTCAGGAAAACCAGAAGTGTGGATCTGATGGGATATACTGCTGGGCTTCGGCCCCTTCATCTTTATCTATTTTAATGAACTTGCAGCTCTCAGCCTTTAACGCGATCTTTTCATCCCTCAGCACCTTCCCTCCTTAGCTAGTCAAGCGGTCCAGGGACACCAGCATGTGATGACTTATACTATAGGCTAATAGTCACTTCTATGGTCGCGGTCCAGCCATGCTCTACTGCGTGCATATTCCTCTTTTATTAGTTTTCTAATGAGTCTTACATGGCGTTCTCCATTTGCAATCAATTCAAGATGTGTGTGCTGGGGGGCATCTATATTTAGTGATTAAGGCGACGCAGCACTATGGCTAGTGTGGAGATTGTTAAGGCAAAATATACAGCTAAGGCTACGTCCAGCCACTGAGACTGTCTTTAGTTTGTAAGTATTATACTGAAACCCATCTGGATTAAGTGTTTCCTAATCACTCAGTGATTGCTCTGGGATTGATTGGTGATCATTGTTTCCTTTGTTACTTGCCTATAGGCCTCGAAATGGGACCGCAAGGACCGCAAACCAAACCGGACTGGACCGCTGCGGTCTGGTCTTTGGTGCAAGACCTTAGGACCGCACCACTGCAATCTGGTTAAGACCAGCAGTCCTATAAACAGGACAAACATAGGAATCCCTGTGACATGCATATTTTGTGCAAAATCTATATGTATTTTTAAGTATTTTGCTTATAGATTAGTTTTAATATTAGATGGATATACTTAGATGGAATGCAATATAAGCAAAGTTTAGATTATAATGGTTTTTTCATTAGTAACTCTACTAGATCAATGGCTATTCATACACAAAATCTTCATCCCATCTTAAATACTTTGGAAGCCGCCCTGATGAGCGCCTCTGAGTACTACTCTCTTGTTATAAGCGGCTGTTGTTAGGTAGAGGAATCTCATCAACTTCATCTAATTTAATTAGAGGCCCAGGCTCATCTGAGATAGCTTTAGCCCTTCTCTTCCCAAGCGCACGCTCACTAGAAGGTTGAATAGCTTAAGATGTGGCCCCAGTAGCAGACAGTTCATCCTCATCATCACTGATAGGATCAAATTCATCTTGTTTTTTCTGAGCATCCTTTTCCTCTTTTGCTATTTGCATTTCTTAGGTAGTAAGGTACTCTTCCATCAGGGAAAGCTGCTCAGATTCTATATCAAACTTTGTTGTACACATAAACAACATTAGCTCCTTGATTATTTTTGGTTTTAGTGAGCCCCAGTGGTAGTAGCAGATATCCCAAGCAGAGTTGAATAACTGCTTGACGCCAGAACCACTAGCTGGAGTGGTAAGAACGTCTTGGGCAAGGCTTGCCAGGATAGGATATTCATATTGATGATCCCTCCAGTACACCCAGGGATTCACTAGTTGCGTACCTATAGAGGTTAGTGTAAGAGAAGTAAGAGGTAGAGGATAGAGCTTACCACTTCTAAGATACTGCGAAAGCTCATCATTGGCAGTTGTTTGTGGCCGTAGAGATTTAGCTAATGTCATAAGGATATTAACATCAGAGATGCCTCCTGTTGAAGACTGGGCAGTTAATATAGACTATGTCTCTGAATAGCACTGCTGGTAAGGTTGAATATAAGCCTTGAGGGACTTCTTATATCATGGCTGCCAGTGTGGCCCCCAGTCCTTTGTGGAAAAGAACTTAAGCTTATTCTGTGGCGCCAGGATGGTCCTAATTACATAGAGATCACCATCAATCTCATCAGTCTTGCTATAATACTCTAAAAGCTTGATTTTCACAGCCTTGAGCACTAATAGCATCACCTTCTTCCAGCTAACCTTCTTACGCGCAAGCTGTGCCCTAGACTTCTTAAGATAAGCAAATAGGGTATTATAGATTGCAAACATACTGTGGATGGTAACCTCTGTAGTCTGAGAGAGAGAGGTTGTGAATTTAAAGAAAGGCTGGGTGATAGATAGAAGATAGTCAATCTGTCGCCATTCATCCTTATCTAGCTTCAGATCAGGATGACCATACTGGGAGCAGTACTCGTCAAAGGTAGACTATAGCTGCCTGGCCCGCTGTAGCATAAGATATGTTGAATTCCAGCGCGTCTGAACATCTTGTATAGGGATAAGCTTTGGTTCTTTCGTCTGAAGATCCACAAAATTCTCTCAGCGTTGGGGACTTTTGTTGATGAAGATTGCTAGCCGTCAAACCTAAATAATGATTAGTAGTTAGGATAGCAGAAGAGAGAGAGTCATACCTTATTCAGAGTATCCACGATCTCTCTGTTCTCTCGCTGGGCCCTATTCTCTCTCTCAGTCCATTCCATCTCTTCTCTATCATTCTGGGGGATTGCTTCCATCTCACTGGGTAGCTCCTTTAAACTTAGTTAGATAACGTGTGCAATACATGGCATATGAATAATGGGTGTATGGCTCGGAATCTCAAGAGATATGAGGGCCTCTTGAAGACTACCCATTAACGTAGAGTTATTAGACGCATTATTAGTAGTAATAGTTAACACCCAGTTAGTAATCTGATATTTCTTAAGAAGTTCGAATAGAACAGTGCTTAGATAAGACCCAGTATGCAAGCCATGCAGGGGTTTAAAGCCAAGTAAGAGCTCATGGTAATTCCACTCTTAGTCAAGAAAATAGCCCATCACTGCCATAAAGGCCTGGCAAAAAGGTAAGGTCCAGCAGTCTAATGCAATAGAGAGCTTGGCACCCTCCAGAAGCTTCCAAAGCAGAGTATATTGATGTTCTTTGACCAATTCTTGAAGATGCTGGCGGACGACATACATAGAAGGGATTTCGGGGAAGGATGGAGCAAGCTGGGCCATTTTAATAAGGGCGTGAAATTCTGGATGCTTAACAAGCTAGAATGGTAGCCGCGAGGCAGTTATAAAGGTGATTACCCTCTCCATCCAGGCTTGCTGAGTGAAAGATGCTTTTTAAGGAGCCCAGTGTGCCTAGTAAGGAGGTTTAATAAGATGAGTAAAGGTTCAGAGGAAAGATAGAGATATCCATACCCCATTATGTATCAGCTGTTGAATATCCTGTGACTAAGGCGCTAATTTCCAACAGTTAATCCCTTGCAAATAGTGTCTATTCATAGTAGATGTTCTATGGTGGCGGTCAGCAGGATGGACAAGGATATGGTCGCATGTCTTACACATAACCTTAGGAGACCCATCCTGGATAGCAGCTACCTGGTGGAAATGGTCCTACATGTCGAGACGGCGGATCTGTCTTGTGACCTGGCAGATAAGCGTGCGAACCCCTGAGGGTTCGGAATCGTCATAAGTACTGTTGTTGTTTAGTATAGCCTTGTCGATGTTGCGTGAGAGCTCCACACCTCCGCGCAGGTGCTTCACTGCTTGTACGTAATTGCCCGCCAGATGATCAAAGCAGGTGAAGAGATAGCAGACCAAAAGCGTGACGGCTGTTATTTCGGTGCTGTCACCACTTCTCTGGTTCAAAAGAAGGTGAATGGCCCGATTATAGTGAAGCAAGGGAGCCTTATCCGGTAGCCAGTCTTTCGAAGATTGCGATTGATGCACATGGTCGCTAGAATCGCGATACAGGTAGTTTCGGTGGATCAAGGCCAGAGCAATGGCGGCACACCGCACTGATGGCACTGTTTGGGAGAAGAATATGAGAGTCTTACGCCATGATTCGCAGGGGCGATATTCATTCAGATGCTTGATCGAAATATACTCGAAAAAACACATTGCCTCTGCCTGAGCTGACCCAGTCACTGGTAAGATCATAAAGGGTCCGAGATTCTGCAAAATGAGGCCATGGTATTTCGAGTACCACTTTTTGGGATGATACGCACTGATCGTGGTGCAAGGGTGGTAACTGTCGCAGCTCTCTTCTCTGTCGGCCTTCTCGTTGTGATAATGACTTGATTCAATCGCGGTCTTCTCGGTCTTGAAAGCGAGGGGCATTTCACTATAGCCGTCACAGGTGCGACCTGTGGACTGGCATTTCAAGCATGAAGGCCGAGAAAGATCGCATTTTACTCGCCTTATCCTGAGAGGTGCACCGAGGTTGAGTGTCATTTTTTGGGTCTTTGTACACAATTGATCGCTCTGTAGCAATACACGGAGTCAAGACTCACTTGCAAGTCTTACAGCCTAGTCTTGACTTTGGAGCGAATTTGCGAGGCTTTCTTCTCCAAGCTTGGTTGGCCGTCTTGGTTTTCTCCTTAATCTCGTCCATCGCTTTGATGTTAGCTGGCCAAGATTTGCAGTTCGCGCCGTTTTAAGCAGTGGACACTCCCAGGGCCACTACGACCCATAAGCCGCCACTTGCTTGGGGCATTCGCTTCGAAAAGCAAATTATGTAGGGCACCGATCAAATTTCAGGAGGATCGTCTATTCGTCTGTTCGTATGCCGGCCAACGGGCAGGTCATCTCCCACATCCTTTGCGATGGACACTTGAATGAGAAAAGACGGACGGTACAAAAAAAGAAGGTCGGAGATATATTAAATAGCCCAAAGATAAACCAACCGTGATAAATCCTGATAGAGATTAGTGCATATCGTGGTAAATTTTGATTGGCTAGTTCGTACAAGCGGGGCACGAAGAAGGGAGAGTTCTCAATCATGGAGAAAGACCAAATAGCGTACGGAGTAAAAATGAACCAATCATGATACATCCTGATAGAGACTAGTGCATATTCTAATAAATTTTGATTGACTAGTTCGTACAAACGGGGCGCCAAGAAAGTAGACATCTCTTTGTGGATCTCTGGATTATGCCAAAATCTAGTCCACATGTATTCAGAGCCTTAACTTTACTTGAGATTCGGCAGAGAAAGTAAAGCCTTAGACCCTCTAATACACTGACAAGGGTAAGAATTTATGCCCGCACCCTCCGTAGTGAAATCTGGTGGTGGTAAAAAAGATATTAATTGGCTGGTTCGTACAAGCGGAGCACCAAGAGAGTGTGCACAATAGGTATTGTGAGTTGATAGGAAGACTGCGACTACCTAAAGAGCTTAGCAATTGAATCCGGCGAATTTAATTGACAAGTCTCTTAGGAAATTCAACTGGTATAAATAGTTCCCTGATATCGCAATTGTGCCGGCTGCAATGATACTTTCTTGCAAGTAATATAACAGAAAGCTCGGAGAGAAACCTTCTGGGGATAACAATGAAACGACTGGTAAATGCACTCATTCTTTTCACGGGTTTGGGATGCAAAGCCGAAATTTGGCGTGATCCAGGCATGGTCTATGGATTTGACAACGTGAGTCTTGGGCTTTGCCGAACCACATCCTCTAATCTAAGGCTTTCAAGCTTTCTGACTAGCCATCTAGATTGAGCCATCAGCCAACCTCACGTGGACACCATGTTTCGATGACTTTACATGCTCTAGACTTGAAGTTCCTTTGGACTATTCAAACAGAAGTCTTGGCACGACGTCAATCGCCTTCATAAAACTGGCTGGGAAGAATGCCACCGCCGAGTCCCCAAGCATTGTACTCAACCCCGGTAAGATCTCAATCAGATCAATCATACAAAGTTACCTGAAATGCATGTGACTGGACTGACACCTCGTCAGGCGGTCCGGGTGGTTCTGGCGTCGATCTCCTCCTCACATACCGGACTGTCGCAGGGCAAATGTTCGGAGAGCAGTACAACTTCGTCTCCTTTGACCCTCGCGGTGTAAACAACAGCGATTTGAGCCTCGACTGCTTCTCGGGGAAATTAGAAGCAAGACTGGCCTTTAGTCGACTGCACAGTACAGGCATTACCAACATCTCATCAACATCGCTTGAAGAACAGTACTATTCAAGCTCTATCTATGGAGAGTGGTGCAACAATGCTGTCGACAATGAGTCACCTCATGATTATCATGTGACCACACCAGCAGTCGCCCATGATTTGCTCACATTTATAGAAGCTGAGGCCGAGGTGGCCGGTCAGTCACCATCAGACGCCAAATTGTGGTGTTATGGCTTCAGTTACGGCACTGTCATCGGCAGCACTTTCGCTTCCATGTTTCCCGACGGAGTTGGGAGAATGATACTCGATGGTGTTGTGAACGCAGAGCAATATTATAACAATGACTGGAGGGACAACGTTGATCAAATGGACGAGGCCATGGAAAAATTCTCGAGCTTCTGCCATTCCGCAGGTCCTGAAAAGTGTTCCTTCTGGGGACCCACGCCAGCTAACATCACGGCCAGAATGGACTGCATCATCCATCAGCTTCAGAACCATCCGGTCCCGGTAAGCGGAGTCCGAAGTAGAGACCTACCAACACTGGTCACCTATTCAGACCTGAAGGCTCTTTTCCTCAAGACTATCTACGCCCCACTGGAGAAATTCCCAGTCATGGCCGACATCCTACACCAGCTCGAGCGTGGGGACGTGTCTGCTCTTGCAGGCATGTTTGACGGATTAAATTCTATATCTGACGCCCGTCTCGCCATTCAGTGCGCCGATTCGTATCGGAGAAACCGGCTTACTACCATGGAAGAATTCAAGAGTTACGTCGAGTACACGATTTCCAAGAGCAAGTACATCGGTGATATTTACCCCATCTACCAAGAAAATATCTTGTGTAGATCATTCCGACCGCAATTGCCTGATAGCATGGTTGTTCAAGGCAGGTATCCCTCTTTGTCTCCCTCTCTCTCTCTTTCTCTCCCTCCCTCTGTATTCTCTAAAAGTTATCTTCGGAAAAGTAAATAAACATCTCCACTGGGAGCAAAACCTAACCAGTTTCTTTTTATGCAGGCCCAATAAGTGGACTAGACAGGCCTACGTCCTTTCCAATCCTTTTTACGAGTAATACCATCGACCCTATAACGCCCTTGAAATCGTACGTTTCGGCCAAGTTGTCTCGCCATCTGGTGTTTTGCTAATTCACTTGACCTCTTGGCAGGGCGAGCAAGATGTCTTCTCGGTTTGCCGGATCGGTACTCCTATTGCAAGAAGCCGTTGGTGTGAGTTGTTATCAAATCTCAATCACACAACCACCTCAAACAAGAGTCTAGGCTTACTCATGGGATGTTCCCCTTGAATGCAGCATACAGTCATCGACCAGGGGGCGTCAAATTGTTATTTTGGACATGTTCAGGCATACCTTCAAGGCATAGTTCCACCGTCCAACATTACATGCCCGCAGCAGTACATACCTTTCATAGACGGCCCTGTTTAAAAATTATTAATGCCGCGGAGGAGGGGTTCGGTAAGTTCTAGGAAGGAATTGGCTAGTAGCGCCACAGTGCTTAATAGTTTTTAGCAATGTAGACCTGGCAGTTCTATGCATGGCACTGAGTTAGAGGCTGGATGCAAAGCCTGCCATTGTGTTTTAAAAAAGCGTTGATTATTCGGGTCTTCGCTGGGGGGGCATTTATTTTCTATGTAGCTGGGGTATTTTCTATTAAAATCTAACCAACTTCGGACTTAAACTAGAACTACCTGTTTCTAAGTATATTAACTTAATAATTCTAAATCGCCGATATTATTTATTCTCTAGCAGAATTTTCAAGAAAGATATTGAGTGATCACTGAGCCGCCTTTTGGTCACTGATTGATCACTGCGCATTAGTCATTCCTCATATGGCTCTATAATGTTCACGATGCCACCATTTTAAAGGTCCAGGATTCCTGGGAAAGTTCTTTCTTCTTTTGTGCCCATGCCCCTCCAGGAGAATTTGATCGGCATACATCTGTTTCCGTGGCGAGGTCCTCATTCTCTGCGAGTTTTCGATCGATTCTCCATCTTGACGGCTGAGGATCTGTAAACGCGACATAGGACCCAATCCACCTATGCTCATCAAATCAAGTGATTTCTGAGCGAGTGCTCTTGCTCTTCATCACCGTACAGGAAATAGACATGACGCAGTCAAGGTATAATTCTGTCAACACTACGGTAGATACCGATTCATCCATACTATGAGTGCATTTTCTCCACTGATTTACTATTCGCCTCAAGATCCCCTGGAAAGACATCAAGTCGGACATTGATATTTTGAAACTACCTGAGCCACAAATTAAAGACCACGAACGATCAGAAACGGACATAACAAGCCAACTTAGAGCATGGAGCTCAGTGGACGAAAGCAAGGTCTCCTAATTAGAAGCATAGACCTCGCTTCCAAAAGCGCCAATCTTGCCCACCTTATAATAGCTACCCTCGTAGTCATTGTGCTTAGATCCCCAACAGTTATCCCTCTTCCCCAAGGATACATCACATTTCGCATGGTTACCCAGAGGTGCAATCATTGCATTATAGTAAGTGTCGGAGTTAAGGATCCATGCATCACTGTATTGCATGTTGTAGATCGCGACTATTTCCCCGAGTCAGTCCCTATCTTCCCGACAATATATGGATAGACGTACAGACGACGTTCCCGTCCTTTCCATTAGTGAGAGTGACACCGTAGGTATCAGACGTTTCATGGCCCTTGGCGATATCTATCCCAACGTATGCATCGCCGGATATTTTGCTTGTAAAGCGAGGACCTGTGAATTCCCTTCTGTGGTTAGTTTTGCCCTTTTGGGTACCTATGGCTTCCCGCATCGTGACCTCCAGTATATAAGAACCGTCCCCTTGCTGTTCTAACCATCCTCTCTCCCAACTTTTTCTTTTCCCCCGAATCCCCCCAAATATTCTACACCCTTCCGGTCGCTGCCGTCGTTTCATCTGCCCATATGGCTACTACCAACCCCCCTCTATTTTACCCATCGGAAAATGCGGCTGCGCCTCCCCCCCTCTTCTTATCTCCACTTCGCAGCTTCCTTTCCGGCCGTCAGCCTTGACTGGTTGTTGAGCTGGCTAAGCTGATTATGTCCCCCTTTTTTTGCTTCCGGTGGATCCTAAGCCTTTCTGGTAGAGCGTCTCCTAGCTCTCGAGGGCCTGTCCGGGTCCAAAAAGTACATGTGGGCATCCTTGACGTGCTCAACAAATCCACCGTCCGTAGCAACAAAACCGCACGAGCAATGCGTGATACATAATTCACAATCGCCGTCTAAAAATGGCTCCCAGTAAGTCCATGCCAACCCCTGCCAGGTTGCATCTTTTCTCGCTATATCCTTCAGTATTCCTTCTATTCCAACCCACCCTTGTATTGCGAGGTTGGCCTCTCCGTTCTCAAGAGCGACGTTCAAGCAATCCAAGTACAAGTAGTAGCAATTGGCTCTGCTGCTTTCATCTAGTTCCTGCTGAAGACCCCATGCGAGGTAGCGTGAAAACGGCTGAATAGTATAGCGCGTGGCAAAGTCCTTGGTCACCAGAAACCCACCCTTTATAGTCAAGGTTGCATGTAGGCAGCCTGACGGTATTGTCAAGGCGTGATCTGAATCTGTCCGGAGTAAAACACCGCCCTCTAATAGAGGTGCTAGTCAGATCAATTTCGCCAGTTGACCATTTTCACTCGCCATCAGTGACAGATTCTTTTCTGTTGGAGGCCACATGAACCAGATTTTCACACAGTCACCTAATGGGACAGAAAGTCCTTCCATTCCGTAGTCTCTTTCAGGTCAGCTTTTCCCACGGTCATCGTTCAGAGGTTCCTACCGATATGAATTTGGACGACAGAAAACGTCGGTGTCACATTGAAGGACACCTGTTGTTCCAGAAACGGAGTGGCGGTCTCGAAGAATTCTTCGGAAACATGGAAAGGATACCGGGCGATAAGTGGTGCCGGCATGGCACCTATGAATCTAACAAACCCTGCGCCTGTTTGTCTATTATCTTGTTTAGATCCATTAGAGTAAATGACGACGTTGTTTTTAGGGATAGATTGGAGGAGTGTTCAGAAGTTATCTGCAGCTTGCTCTTTTATAAGGCCTTCTAGGGCCCTAACCTGTGCTAAGGCTGCTTCCCTCAGTTCATGCTTAAGCCAGGGTAGGTGGATCAGTGGGTTAACCTGTTCTGAGTAGGGTAATATTAGTACCTGGCGTGCGAATCAGCTGGTTGGATGGCCTTTCTATATAATAGCTTTGGCTCGTTTCTGAAGAGGGTGATCTGGATCTAATTAGGAGAGATGCGTGGACGCTGTAAGGATGATCTGATCCAACTTGATTTCTGGGGGGTAGAAACCAGATTCATGGTGTAAAATAGGTATTGGGGTGGTGTAGAACGCTGGGAGAACTGCTCTTGCTCCTGTTAGAATAACAGTAGATAGATCTTTTAGGTGTTTATTCACTTGATTTGAGATTAGGGGAGAGCCTGGTTGAGCTCCGGGCCGGGTATAGCCAGGCCACCAAGTTTCTGCGCCGAAATAAGCTTTGCGGAGGACGCAGGCTGATATAGCCTATTGTAGGAGGTGAGGTTTCATCCCATGGACTGTATTTCCAAGAGAGCGGAGGGCGGATGCTATTATTACTGCTCTAGATGTCATCTCTTAGACATGCCAGTTGAACCTGAGCTTCTTGTCAAAGAGGATCCCTAGCCATCAGAAATATGGGAGGTCAGTCCCTTCAGAGACTGTGATTAAGCCAGCTGAAACTAAGGGGTTTTTTATTAGATCTTATTCTGCTCAATGTTGGGAGAAGTGGATAAGCTCATATTTATCTAGTGTGAATGTGATTTCTTCAGCATTACCCCATGAGATTGCTTCTTATAAGAATATGCTTAATATCTTGCTATTAATTATAAGGGATGGGGAGATTGCAAGAATAGCGGCATTATCTGCATATCTAAATCTCTTTCTAGAGTTGCCCATATGGAATAAAGGGGCGATATAAAGCATGAATAAAATAGGGGAGATCAGAGATCATTGTAGGAGCCTGCATGATATATCTGTGTTTAGGCCTAGTTCATTATTAAAGCAGATTTGTATAGTTCTTTCTGTGATAAAAGAGGCTATCCAGAGTATTAGGTTGTTTGGCCATCCTTATATCTGAAGCCGGTGGATTAGTCTTCCTGAGAGGACATTATTGAATGCGCCTTTCACATCTAAGGTTAGTAGAGAAGCTGTTTTGCCTTAATTTAAGGCTTACTCTACATCATGTATCAGACATGTGGTTAGGTTGATTACTGATCTAAGAGGGAGGGCTCCAAATTACTGACTTACTAATTTTACTTCCTTCTCTGACGTCTTAAAGCCTCGAGTAGGATCCATATCAGACCATACGCTATCGTGGATACAAATTACTCCGCACTGTTTTGCAGCGAATATGAAAGGGAACATATTCAAAATCATCCATGGCGTCGGTTGAGTGCCTTCCCAGGTTCAACAATCTGCTCGCATTATTCCATCGATGGACTGCTCAACCCAGGGCCAGGTGGAGTCGTCCATTGGTATGGTTCCTCTGTGCAGATTACTCCAGATAACCAGACACTATTAGACGTCATAAGTCTGCCTAACAGGAACGGTAGCCACTGTAAGGCTCATTCATCCTTACAGAGATACCTCATTGCTCACAGCTGCAGATTTAGGAATGGATCATTATCCTTCGGTTCTACAGCCAGGCTGCCTAGCGACCTTCCAGATTCCCCTAGAGGTAGAAACTGGGGGCACCTATGCGGTCTATTGGATGTGGAACACCACATTGGCTAGGGAAGAGGGCTTTCTGGTAGAGTTCACCAAATAGTATAATGTTGACTCTCAACTGACACACCCAGTTATACACTACCTGTCTTGACATCGAGGTCGTTCCAAGCGCATTGCCTGTATTGCCGTCGCCTACAATATCTCCTGCCTGGGAGCCTCCGTACGGCCATGGATCATTCCCAACGGTTCCCGTTTTAACCCCACAATCGACCCTGGGCCCTGCTGTCTCGTTCCCTCATTTAACGACCAAAAGATGTACTGGATCCCCGGAGCCATCAAAAGCCATACCGCAGGCTTCGCCGGCCTCTGCGAGTTATACATCAAGCCTAACAATCCGTACGACCTCTCAGCAGACAAGGTTGACAACTTCCACAGCAGTCGCCATGGCCACAGGACATGCCTCATACAGTGTGCAGCCAGAACATCAGCCTCCTTGCTCATCAAGCGCATTACGGTCAACGCGTATAACAACGATGTCTGCATCCTCTGGTATCAAGATGGTCCGAGTGGAGCCAGGCGAACCAACAGAGGCAACAGAATTCTTCCCCCAGACACTTGATGTCTCTGTTGGTGATATTCTCTGGTTCTACTCTCCGAATGGGTCATTTTCACTTTACAATACAACCCTGGAAGGGTCCTGTTTTTTTGACGAGCGATTTGGAGGAGACGCTAACAAGGATGTTCTCTTCCGGGTTAACTCTACAGAGCCAATGTGGTTCATCGGAATCAAGAATCCCGAGCTATACCGTTGCTGTCCATCAAGTCATTTTGCCCTGAACCCAGGGAGTCAAAAGGCCAATTTCTCCGTTCAATTGAAACTAGCTGTATCAGCGTTTCCGTCAGCTTCACTACTCCACCTAGGCCCCCTGGGCCGACTACTACTGTTTTCACTACCGTGACGGCCGAATAATTACTGCTTGGGCAATGCAAGGTTCCGATAGGTGGTGCTCTGTACTATTCAGCAGGCTAGACTTCGAGCTATTGGTGCAATAACAATCATGGATTTGTTTTCCTTCTATTGTTACCCCGAGGCCGCAGAAACTAGTAGCATGGGACCATGGGTCTCTTGAAAGCATAACGTGTATTTAATTGTATTTCGGAAGTTCTGCCGGTACAGAGTAGGCCCGAGGAGATGGACAAGGCTATGAGCCATGAGGATTGATCCATGGTGTCTTCGGGGTCTCCTTACCAAAGCATGTAAATCTGTATTTTACGTTTCAGCTCCAGTCCCTTTTGGTTCTATTGCTGGTATCGGATATCTTCCTAGGGGATTGAAGTTACAGCTGCTTGGACCATTCTCTATTACCTCGGCTGCGCAGACAGCACAGTAATTTACATTGGTGGACCTGACAGCCTGACAGGGTCCCATTACATAAGGGACTTCTGCGTTCTTTTTGATGTAATACAGGACAATTGGTTACAAGTTTACAAGCACATTAGGTCCATACTACCTCACCATAGTTCGTATCTTACATGGGTGGCTAAAATTACTGCTGACTAATGCCGTCTTGTAACTAACGTAATCAACCACCGAACCGCGGATACCACCGAACCGCGAATTTTCGCCGCTCTCTCAAAATATTTGAATACACAAGTATCAGCGCGTGCTATCCGTATCAATTTATATCAATGTCTCAATCCAAAGAGGCCCGCATGCAAATGGCCATTTCTGCATATAAAAATCAAAAAATTAAATCAAAATCAAAAGCTGCTGAGGTATTTGGGGTACCCGAATCTACCCTTCGTGAGCGGCTTAGTGGTGTCAAACCACGTACGGAAACACGCGCAAACAGCCACAGGATGACAGTTATTGAAGAGAAATCTCTTGTTAAGCATCTCTTAGATGCAGATAAGTGGGGATTCTCAATTCGGCCTGAGTTTTTGCGTGGAATGGCACAGATTCTGCTGCGAGCGCGTACTCATGATCCTACTACAACCCTTGGTGTCAACTGGGCATATAAGTTTGTTAAACGCCATCCAGAGCAGTGTACAAGATATAACCAACGCATATCTTATCAGCGTA